TTCAGATCTCAAGGACGAAGACTTTGCGGGATGCCATGGCCGGGCGGCCAAGTTCTGGTGAAGTGAATAGGCGATTATCAAACAAAGAAGCAAAGAATGCTGGTACCTGACTGCATATATTATTTTTTTCATAATAAAATTAAAATGTTTTTGAGTACTCACAGGTTATATACTTAATAGGTGAAGCTTCAATGAGAAAGCCAATGGGGCAGGATCAAAGAACATTGGAGAGTGCTTTTACATCTAGGTATCCGAATCGCGCATCCTCTACAAGGCCTTCAACTCCTGCAGATGGATACCAAAACCGAAGGGAAAGTTCAACACGACATAATACTCTGGAAACTGAAGCAGATGCTTGGGAAAAAGCTCAGATTAAGAAGATCCAGAGGCGGTAAAAACCAATTTTTGGGTGGTTCTGTTCTTAAAATCTTTATATAAAAAATAGTCATTGTTGAAAGCTTGCTTAAATGCTGCTTAAATTTCTAAGGAACACTTCAGTTTCTTCCTTTTGAAATGGTAAATTATCATTTTCAGGTATGAGAAAGTGAAATCTGCAATTCTTGCTTGGGAAAATGAGAAGAAGATGCAAGCAAAAATTAAGATGGAGAAGAGAAAGGTACAGTTTAACAATCATTGTTTTTTAATTTAAGTTTGTGAACACCAATGATGAAGATCACCCCTCAATGAGTTGTTGAAATTGCAGAGTGAATTGGAGCAGAGAAGAGCAAGCAACATGCAACATTACCAAATCAAGCAAACAAGAATTGACCAGATAGCAGGAGGAGCAAGGGCACAAATGGAAGAGAAAAGAAGAAATGAAGAGTCCAAGGTGAGAGAAAAGGTTAAAAGGATTAGAGCAAAAGGCAAAGTTCCTGTTAAATGTTTCTGCTTCACTTGCTACTAGGAAGGGAATCACTTGGACTTGAGAAACTTTGTCTTGGAGCAATGAAGCTGTCACTGGATCTTCTGCTGATTAAATCTGTATATTAACTATATTATGGCTTCCTAACAGTATATCCTAACTTACTTTAATTTGTAAATGATGTATAAAGATTTCGGATCATGAAAGTTCGAAAATTGTGTGTTGTATATGTTTATCCAATAAAACTATAGCCAGTCAAGAAAAATATTACAAAAATTTGGCCCTTTGATTTCATGAGGACTTGATACAAAAGATTCTGCAGGCACAGAGAATTGCATGCTGAGGTACTTCTTTGCACTTGATGTCTCTCTAAGCAGATATTCTTAACCTAATATCAACCCTTAAGCTGATACTGCCTCGCATACGTTCAAAATTCTTATTTGTTACAACTTTGCCACTATAATATAATAAAGTATTGAAATGGATATGAACAACTTTTCATTTGACGTCCCTCTAAGCAGACGTTGATTTGGATATTTAGATGGGACATTTTATACGTTCCTCATTTTGAGGGCAAGGACTCAACAGCTGGGCCATTATGCTGGATGAAATTACCTTCATAACAAGATAGCTGCATCCACCAAAAATGACATTGTTTCCAAACTGCTACCTCTTCCTCTAGCACCCCACCCCTATCAGATGCACACATCTTGTCCTCGTACTTTGGACAAAATAAATTATTAACCTTGCTAATCTTGTAGTTATTAACCTAAATTAGTTATGTACTTGGAAAACCTAACACGGCAATCTTGTCCGGAAAGCATTTCAACATTGGCTTCAACTAGTATATCTATGCATCAGATTTATGAAGGCATTTCCTCTAGATTGACATAGAAGATAAGTCAATGTAAAACAGGATATATTAAGCTATTATTTTGAAACATGGATGCATATACAGCCAAATTGTTTGCTGGAAGATGATGGAAAAGGAGAAATAAAGGTAACCAAAGTCGCATGAGAGGGAAGGCTATCAATTTAGACCACAAAAGTATGGTTAAGCATGACTTTAAGTGGACCTGAAGGTGTGGTTGGTTCCCGCCAAAATCACCATCACAAGGCAAGGTCTAAACTCTAGAATCACTAATGTCTGCCAGTAGAGCTTAGAGCTTCATAAAGTACAAGAAAAATAGGAGAAATTGTTCCTGAAGATGGAGCACAGTGGCCCCAGCTGTCAAGGTTATGTTGGACAAAAAACAAAGAATGGCCTCTATTTTTCAAGCTAATCAATCATCTAGCTAGGCTAGCTACTAGAAAGGACATAACACTTGTGTGTTTAGACTATCTGAGTATTACATACATATACATAATATATATATATATATATATATA